TCTAGAGTGGCCATAGGGCTCTTGGGTGGCATGGAGGGGCCATTGGTGGCCATGGGGTTCTTGGGGTGGCCTTGGGGCTCTTGGGTGGCCATGGGGCTCATGGGTTGGCCATGGGGTTCATGGGGTGGCCATGGGGCTCATGGGGTGGCAGTGGAGTTCATGGGGTGGCCGTGGGGCTTCTAGAGTGGCCATAGGGCTCTTGGGTGGCCATGGAGGGGCCATTGGTGGCCATGGGGCTTTTGGAGTGACTGTGGGGCTCATGGGGTGGCAGTGGGACTCTTGGGGTGGCCTTGGGGCTCATGGGGTGGTTGTGGGGTTCATGGGGTGGCCTTGGGGCTCTTGGGGTGGCCATGGAGGGGCCATTGGTGGCCATAGGGTTCTTGGGGTGGCCACAGGGCTCTTGGGTGGCCATGGGGCTCATAGGGTGGCAGTGGAGTTCATGGGGTGGCAGTGGGACTCTTGGGGTGGCCTTGGGGCTCTTGGGGTGGCCGTAGGGTTTTTGGGGTGGCCGTGGGGTTCATGGGGTGGCTGTGGGGTTCATGGGGAGGCCATAGGGCTCTTGGGTGGCCATGGAGGAGCCATTGGTGGCCATGGGGCTCATGGGGTGACTGTGGGACTTTTTGGGGTGGCCTTGGGGCTCTTGGGTGGCCATGGGGCTCATAGGGTGGCAGTGGAGTTCATGGGGTGGCTGTGGGGTTCATGGGGAGGCCATAGGGCTCTTGGGTGGCCATGGAGGGGCCATTGGTAGCTGTGGGGCTCTTGAGGTGGCTGTGGGGCTCATGGGGTGGTTGTGGGGTTCATGGGGTGGCCGTGGGGCTCTTGGGGTGTCCATGGGGCTCATGGGTGGCCATGGAGGGGTCATTGGTGGCCATGGGGCTTTTGGAGTGGCTGTGGGGTTCATGGGGTGGCCATGAGGTTCATGGGGTGGCCTTGGGGCTCTTGGGGTGTCCGTAGGGTTTTTGGGGTGGCCGTGGGGTTTATAGGGTGGCCGTGGGGCTTCTAGAGTGGCCATAGGGCTCTTGGGTGGCCATGAAGGAGCCATTGGTGGCCATGGGGCTTTTGGGATGGCCGTGGGGTTCATGGGGTGGCCATGGGGCTCTTGGGTGGCCATGGAGGGGCCACAGGTATCAATGGGGCTCATGGGTTGGCCATGGGGTTCATGGGGTGGCCATGGGGCTTTTGGGGTTGCCATGGGGTTCGTAAGGTGGCTGTGGGGATTGTGGGGTGGCTGTGGGGCTCTTGGATGTCCATGGAGGGGCCATTGGTGGCCATGGGGCTTTTGGGGTGGCCATGGGGTCTCGTGGAACGGCTGGGAGGAAGAACAAAGAACAGATGGTGGCCCCAAAGGGGCTCTTGGTAGCCACAGCAGCCTTTGGTAGCCACCAGGGGCCCTTTGGTAGCCACCAGGGGCCCTTTGGTAGCAACAAGGAGCCCTTTGGTAGCCACCAGGGGCCCTTTGGTAGCCACAGCAGCCTTTGGTAGCCACCAGGGGCCCTTTGGTAGCCACAAGGAGCCCTTTGGTAGCCACAGCAGCCTTTGGTAGCCACCAGGGGCCCTTTGGTAGCAACAAGGAGCCCTTTGGTAGCCACCAGGGGCCCTTTGGTAGCCACCAGGGGCCCTTTGGTAGCCACAGCAGCCTTTGTAGCCACCAGGGGCCCTCTGGTAGCCACAGCAGCCTTTGGTAGCCACCAGGGGCCCTCTGGTAGCCACAGCAGCCTTTGGTAGCCACAGCGCCCTCTGGTAGCCACAAGGAGCCCTTTGGTAGCCACCAGGGGCCCTTTGGTAGCCACAGCAGCCTTTGGTAGCCACAAGGAGCCCTTTGGTAGCCACAAGGAGCCCTTTGGTAGCCACCAGGGGCCCTTTGGTAGCCACAGCAGCCTTTGGTAGCCACAAGGAGCCCTTTGGTAGCCACAAGGAGCCCTTTGGTAGCCACCAGGGGCCCTTTGGTAGCCACAAGGAGCCCTTTGGTAGCCACCAGGGGCCCTTTGGTAGCCACAAGGAGCCCTTTGGTAGCCACCGGGGGCCCTTTGGTAGCCACAAGGAGCCCTTTGGTAGCCACCGGGGGCCCTTTGGTAGCCACAGCAGCCTTTGGTAGCCACAAGGAGCCCTTTGGTAGCCACCAGGGGCCCTTTGGTAGCCACAAGGAGCCCTTTGGTAGCCACAGGGGGCCCTTTGGTAGGCACAAGGAGCCCTTTGGTAGCCACCAGGGGCCCTCTGGTAGCCACGGCCCCCCTCCCCTCAGTACGACTTCGCAGCCTGGATGCCCAACACCCCCGGGACCCTTCGGCTGCCGCCCCCCGGCCCCGAGGACCCGGTGACGGCCGACACTTTTTTGGCCACTCTGCCGTCCCCCAAAGCCACCGGGGCGCTGCTGGCGCTGCTCAGCGTCGTCAGCTACGAGGTCGGAGAGAGGGTGAGCCTCCCCCCAGGGACCCCAGGGACCCCCAACCTTCCCCCAGGGACCCCAGGGACCCCCAACCTTCCCCCAGGGACCCCAAGGGACCCCAACCTTCCCCCCTGACCCCAAGGGACCCCAAGAGACCCCCATGACCCCAAGGGACTCCAGCCTTCCCCAAGTGACCCCAATGACCTCAACCTTGGCCCCTGACCCCAAGGGACCCCAGGGGACCCCCAGAGACCCCAACCTCCCCCAAGGGACCCCAAGGGACCCCAGCCTTCTCCAAGGACCCCCAGGGACCCCCATGACTCCAAGGGACCCCAACCTCCCCCAAGGGACCCCACTGACCCCAACCTTCCCCCCTGACCCCAGGGACCCCCATGATCCCCAGGGACCCCAACATTCCCCAAGGGACCCCAAGGGACCCCCATGACCTCAAGGGACCCCCAGGGTTCCCCTCTGACCCCAATAGGCCCCAATAGGCCCCAAGGGACCCCGACCTTCCCCAAGGGACCCCAAGGGACCCCCCTGACCCCAAGGGACCCCCAACCTCCCCCCAGGGACCCCCAGGGACCCCCAACATTCCCCCAGGGACCCCGCTGACCCCAACCTTCCTCCCTGACCCCAAGGGACCCCATAGGACCCCCAATGACCCCCAGGGACCCCAACCTCCCCCCAGGGACCCCCCTGTCCCACCCCCCCCCCGTGACCCCCTTTCCCCAAGGGACCCCCCTGACCCCAAGGGACCCCCAACCTTCCCCCAGGGACCCCCCTGTCCCCCCCCTGATCCCCCTGCCCCCATTTCCCCCCCAGCACCCACTGGGCTGTTACCCGGAGCAGCACTTCACAGAGGCCGCCCCCCGACCCCAAGGGACCCCAACCTCCCCCAAGAGACCCCCAGGGCTCCCCCCGACCCCAACCTCCCCCAAGGGACCCCAAAGGACCCCAAGGGACCCCAACATTCTCCAAGGACCCCCAGGGACCCCCCTGACCCCAAGGGACCCCAACCTCCCCCAAGGGACCCCACTGACCCCAACCTTCCCCCCTGACCCCAAGGGACCCCATAGGACCCCAATGACCCCCAGGGACCCCAACCTCCCCCCAGGGACTCCCCTGTCCCTCCCCGCCCCTCTGTGACCCCCTTTCCCCAAGGGACCCCCATGACCCCAAGGGACCCCAACCTCCCCCAAAGGACCCCAAGGGACCCCAACCTTCTCCAAGGACCTCCAGGGACCCCCATGACTCCAAGGGACCCCAACCTCCCCCAAGGGACCCCACTGACCCCAACCTTCCCCCCTGACCCCAAGGGACCCCATAGGACCCCCAATGACCCCCAGGGACCCCAACCTCCCCCAAGGGACCCCCCTGACCCCAACCTCCCCCAAGGGACCCCCCTGACCCCAACCTCCCCCAGGGGACCCCAAGGGACCCCAACCTCCCCCCTGTCCCCCCCCTGCCCCCCCATGACCCCCCTTTCCCCCCAGCGCCCGCTGGGCTGTTACCCGGAGCAGCACTTCACAGAGGCCGCCCCCTGACCCAAGGGACCCCAAGGGACCCCCATGACCCCAAGGGACCCCCAATGACCCCAAAGGACCCCCAGGGACCCCAATCTTCCCCAAGGGACCCCAAGGGACCCCCCTGACCCCCAGGGACCCCAGCCTTCTCCAATGACCCCCAGGGACCCCAACCTCCCCCCAGGGACCCCCCTGACCCCAACCTTCCCCCCTGACCCCAAGGGACCCCAAGGGCCCCCAATGACCCCCAGGGACCCCCAAGGGACCCCCAACCTCCCCCCAGGGACTCCCCTGACTCCAAGGGACCCCAGCCTTCTCCAAGGGACCCCCCTGACCCCAAGGGACCAAAGGGACCCCATAGGACCCCCAATGACCCCCAGGGACCCCAACCTCCCCCCAGGGACCCCCCTGTCCCCCCTGATCCCCCTGCCCCCCTTTCCCCCCAGCGCCCGCTGGGCTGTTACCCGGAGCAGCACTTCACAGAGGCCGCCCCGCGCCGCCTGATGCTGCAGTTCCGCCGCCGCCTGCAGCGCATCTCCCGGCGCATCCGGCGGCGCAACGCCGCGCTGCCGCTGCCCTACCCCTACCTCGACCCCAGCAACGTCGAGAACAGCATCTCCACCTGAAGCCACCCCGAATCCCCCGGCGACCCCAAAAACCCCAAACCTTTGCACCCTGTTCTGCTGCCCCTTAGGATGCCCTCAAAGCCCCCCAGGTGCCCCCAAAATCCTCATCTCCTCCTTCTTGGGTGACCCCAAATCTCTCCATCCCATTATGGCCTCCCTTCAGATGTCCTTAAGATCCCAGGTGACCCCAAACTCCTCATCCCATATTTCTTGGGATGACCCCAATCCCATCCCATATTTCTTCTTGGGGTGACCCCAAACCTCTCCACCCCATTATGGTCCCCCTTAGGATGTCCCCAAGCCCCATAAGTGACCCCAAAAGCCCTCATCCCCTCCTTCTCCTCTTTGGGGTGACCCCAAATCTCTCCACCCCATTATGGCCTCCCTTCAGATGTCCCCAAAGCCTCCAGGTGACCCCAAAATCCTCATTCCATCCTTCTTAGGATGACCCCAAACTCCTCATCCCATATTTCTTAGGATGACCCCAATCCCACCCCATATTTCTTCTTGGGGTGGCCCCAAACCTCTCCATCCCATTATGGCCTCCCTTAGGATGTCCCCAAGCCCCCCAGGTGGCCCCAAAATCCTCATTCCATCCTTCTTAGGATGACCCCAAACTCCTCATCCCATATTCCTTGGGATGACCCCAATCCCATCCCATATTTCTTCATGGGGTGACCCCAAATCTCTCCACCCTGTTCTGCTCCCCCTTACGATGCCCTCAAAACCCCACAGGTGACCCCAAAATCCTCATCTCCTCCTTCTTGGGGTGACCCCAAATCTCTCCACCCCATTATGGTCCCCCTTAGGATGTCCTTAAGATCCCAGGTGACCCCAAACCTCTCCACCCCATATTCCTTGGGATGACCCCAATCCCATCCCATATTTCTTCCTGGGGTGACCCCAAATCTCTCCATCCCATTATGGCCTCCCTTCAGATGTCCCCAAGACCCCAGGTGACCCCAAAATCCTCATTCCATCCTTCTTAGGATGACCCCAAACTCCTCACCCCATATTTCTTGGGGGTGACCCCAATCCCATCCCATATTTCTTCTTGGGGTGACCCCAAACCTCTCCATCCCATTATGGTCCCCCTTCAGATGTCCCCAAGCCCCATAAGTGACCCCAAAACCCTCATCCCCTCCTTCTCCTCTTTGGGGTGACCCCAAATCTCTCCACCCCATTATGGCCTCCCATCCGATGTCCTTAAGATCCCAGGTGACCCCAAACTCCTCATCCCATATTTCTTGGGGTGACCCCAATCCCACCCCATATTTCTTCTTGAGGTGACCCCAAACCTCTGCACCCTGTTCTGCTGCCCCTTAGGATGCCCTCAAAGCCCCCCAGGTGACCCCAAAATCCTCATCTCCTCCTTCTTGGGGTGACCCCAAATCTCTCCACCCCATTATGGTCCCCCTTAGGATGTCCCCAAGCCCCATAAGTGACCCCAAAACCCTCATCCCCTCCTACTCCTCTTTGGGGTGACCCCAAACCTCTCCATCCTGTTCTGCTCCCCCTTAGGATGCCCCAAAGCCCCCCAGGTGACCCCAAAATCCTCATTCCATCCATCATAGGATGACCCCAAACTCCTCATCCCATATTTCTTGGGGTGACCCCAATCCCACCCCATATTTCTTCATGGGGTGACCCCAAACCTTTGCACCCTGTTCTGCTCCCCCTTAGGATGCCCCCAAACCCCTCAGGTGACCCCAAAATCCTCATCTCCTCCTTCTTGGGTGACCCCAAAGCTCTCCACCCCATTATGGCCTCCCTTAGGATGTCCTTAAGATCCCAGGTGACCCCAAACCTCTCCACCCCAAATTCCTTGGGATGACCCCAATCCCATCCCATATTTCTTCTTGGGGTGACCCCAAAGCTCTCCACCCCATTATGGTCCCCCTTAGGATGTCCCCAAGCCCCATAAGTGACCCCAAAACCCTCATCCCCTCCTTCTCCTCTTTGGGGTGACCCCAAACCTCCACACCCTGTTCTGCTCCCCCTTAGGATGCCCCAAATCCCCCCAGGTGACCCCAAAAGCCCTCAGCCCATCCTTCTCCTCTTTGGGGTGACCCCAAACCTCACCATCCCATATTTCTTGGGGGTGACCCCAATCCCACCCCATATTTCTTCTTGGGGTGACCCCAAACCCCACTGCTGTCCCCACTGAGCTGTGCAATAAAGGAGGTGCCAACCCCAAATCGGCCGTGGGGTCATTGAGGGTTATGGGGTCATGTGGGTATGGGGTCACTGTGGGTATGGGGTCATGTGGGTATGGGGTCATGTGGGTATGGGGTCATTGAGGGTATGGGGTCATGCGGGTATGGGGTCATGTGGGTATGGGGTCATGTGGGTATGGGGTCATGTGGGTATGGGGTCATGTGGGTATGGGGTCTTGTGGGTATGGGGTCATTGAGGGTATGGGGTCATGTGGTTATGGGGTCATTGAGGGTATGGGGTCTTGTGGGTATGAGGTCATGTGGGTATGGGGTCATTGTGGGTATGGGGTCTTGTGGGTATGAGGTCATGTGGGTATGGGGTCATTGTGGGTATGGGGTCTTGTGGGTATGAGGTCATGTGGGTATGGGGTCATTGTGGGTATGGGGTCTTGTGGGTATGAGGTCATGTGGGTATGGGGTCATTGTGGGTATGGGGTCATGTGGGTATGGGGTCATGTGGGTATGGGGTCATGTGGGTATGGGGTCTTGTGGGTATGAGGTCATGTGGGTATGGGGTCATTGTGGGTATGGGGTCATGTGGGTATGGGGTCATGTGGGTATGGGGTCTTGTGGGTATGGGGTCATTGAGGGTATGGGGTCATGTGGTTATGGGGTCATTGAGGGTATGGGGTCTTGTGGGTATGAGGTCATGTGGGTATGGGGTCATTGAGGGTATGGGGTCTTGTGGGTATGAGGTCATGTGGGTATGGGGTCATTGTGGGTATGGGGTCATTGAGGGTATGGGGTCATTGAGGGTATGGGGTCATGTGGGTATGGGGTCATGTGGGTATGGGGTCATTGAGGGTATGGGGTCATGTGGGTATGGGGTCATTGTGGGTATGGGGTCATTGAGGGTATGGGGTCATTGAGGGTATGGGGTCATTGAGGGTATGGGGTCATTGTGGGTATGGGGTCATGTGGGTATGGGGTCATTGAGGGTATGGGGTCATGTGGGTATGGGGTCATGTGGGTATGGGGTCATTGAGGGTATGGGGTCATTGAGGGTATGGGGTCATGTGGGTATGGGGTCATTGAGGGTATGGGGTCATTGTGGGTATGGGGTCATTGAGGGTATGGGGTCATGTGGGTATGGGGTCATGTGGGTATGGGGTCATTGAGGGTATGGGGTCATGTGGGTATGGGGTCATTGAGGGTATGGGGTCATGTGGGTATGGGGTCATTGAGGGTATGGGGTCATGTGGGTATGGGGTCATTGAGGGTATGGGGTCATTGAGGGTTATGGGGTCATGTGGGTATGGGGTCATTGAGGGTATGGGGTCATTGTTGGTATGGGGTCATGTGGGTATGGGGTCATTGAGGGTATGGGGTCATGTGGGTATGGGGTCATGTGGGTATGGGGTCATGTGGGTATGGGGTCATTGTGGGTATGGGGTCATGTGGGTATGGGGTCAGGTGGGTATGGGGTCAGGGTGGGTATGGGGTCAGGGTGGGTATGGGGTCATTGTGGGTATGGGGTCATTGAGGGTATGGGGTCATGTGGGTATGGGGTCATTGAGGGTATGGGGTCATGTGGGTATGGGGTCATGTGGGTATGGGGTCATTGAGGGTATGGGGTCACGGTGGGTATGGGGTCATTGTGGGTATGGGGTCATTGTGGGTATGGGGTCAGGGTGGGTATGGGGTCATGTGGGTATGGGGTCATTGTGGGTATGGGGTCATGTGGGTATGGGGTCATGTGGGTATGGGGTCATTGTGGGTATGGGGTCATTGAGGGTATGGGGTCATGTGGGTATGGGGTCATGTGGGTATGGGGTCATGTGGGTATGGGGTCATGTGGGTATGGGGTCATTGTGGGTATGGGGTCATGTGGGTATGAGGTCATGTGGGTATGGGGTCATTGAGGGTATGGGGTCATTGTGGGTATGGGGTCATGTGGGTATGGGGTCATGTGGGTATGGGGTCATGTGGGTATGAGGTCATGTGGGTATGGGGTCATGTGGGTATGGGGTCATTGAGGGTATGGGGTCATTGTGGGTATGGGGTCATGTGGGTATGGGGTCATTGAGGGTATGGGGTCATGTGGGTATGGGGTCATGTGGGTATGGGGTCATTGTGGGTATGGGGTCATGTGGGTATGGGGTCATGTGGGTATGGGGTCATGTGGTTATGGGGTCATTGAGGGTATGGGGTCATTGTGGGTATGGGGTCATTGAGGGTATGGGGTCATGTGGGTATGGGGTCATTGAGGGTATGGGGTCATTGTTGGGTATGGGGTCATGTGGGTATGGGGTCATTGAGGGTATGGGGTCATGTGGGTATGGGGTCACTGTGGGTATGGGGTCATGTGGGTATGGGGTCATGTGGGTATGGGGTCATGTGGGTATGGGGTCACTGTGGGTATGGGGTCATGTGGGTATGGGGTCATGTGGGTATGGGGTCATGTGGGTATGGGGTCATTGAGGGTATGGGGTCATGTGGGTATGGGGTCATGTGGGTATGGGGTCATGTGGGTATGGGGTCACTGTGGGTATGGGGTCATGTGGGTATGGGGTCATGTGGGTATGGGGTCAGGTGGGTATGGGGTCACTGTGGGTATGGGGTCATGTGGGTATGGGGTCATGTGGGTATGGGGTCACTGTGGGTATGGGGTCATGTGGGTATGGGGTCATGTGGGTATGGGGTCACTGTGGGTATGGGGTCATGTGGGTATGGGGTCATGTGGGTATGGGGTCATTGAGGGTATGGGGTCATGTGGGTATGGGGTCATGTGGGTATGGGGTCATTGTGGGTATGGGGTCATTGAGGGTATGGGGTCATGTGGGTATGGGGTCATTGTGGGTATGGGGTCATTGTGGGTATGGGGTCACTGTGGGTATGGGGTCATGTGGGTATGGGGTCATTGTGGGTATGGGGTCACTGTGGGTATGGGGTCATGTGGGTATGGGGTCATTGTGGGTATGGGGTCATTGTGGGTATGGGGTCACTGTGGGTATGGGGTCATGTGGGTATGGGGTCATGTGGGTATGGGGTCATTGTGGGTATGCGGTCAGGTGGGTATGGGGTCATGTGGGTATGGGGTCACTGTGGGTATGGGGTCATGTGGGTATGGGGTCATTGAGGGTATGGGGTCATGTGGGTATGGGGTCATTGAGGGTATGGGGTCATGTGGGTATGGGGTCATGTGGGTATGGGGTCATGTGGGTATGGGGTCACTGTGGGTATGGGGTCATGTGGGTATGGGGTCATGTGGGTATGGGTCAGGTGGGTATGGGGTCACTGTGGGTATGGGGTCAGGTGGGTATGGGGTCATTGTGGGTATGGGGTCAGGGTGGGTATGGGGTCATTGTGGGTATGGGGTCATTGAGGGTATGGGGTCATGTGGGTATGGGGTCATTGAGGGTATGGGGTCATGTGGGTATGGGGTCATGTGGGTATGGGGTCATTGAGGGTATGGGGTCACGGTGGGTATGGGGTCATTGTGGGTATGGGGTCATTGTGGGTATGGGGTCAGGGTGGGTATGGGGTCATGTGGGTATGGGGTCATTGTGGGTATGGGGTCATGTGGGTATGGGGTCATGTGGGTATGGGGTCATTGTGGGTATGGGGTCATTGAGGGTATGGGGTCATGTGGGTATGGGGTCATGTGGGTATGGGGTCATGTGGGTATGGGGTCATTGTGGGTATGGGGTCATGTGGGTATGAGGTCATGTGGGTATGGGGTCATTGTGGGTATGGGGTCATGAGGGTATGGGGTCATTGAGGGTATGGGGTCATTGTGGGTATGGGGTCATGTGGGTATGGGGTCATGTGGGTATGGGGTCATTGTGGGTATGGGGTCATTGTGGGTATGGGGTCATGTGGGTATGGGGTCATGTGGTTATGGGGTCATTGAGGGTATGGGGTCATGTGGGTATGGGGTCATTGTGGGTATGGGGTCATTGAGGGTATGGGGTCATGTGGGTATGGGGTCATTGAGGGTATGGGGTCATTGTTGGTATGGGGTCATGTGGGTATGGGGTCATTGAGGGTATGGGGTCATGTGGGTATGGGGTCACTGTGGGTATGGGGTCATGTGGGTATGGGGTCATGTGGGTATGGGGTCATGTGGGTATGGGGTCACTGTGGGTATGGGGTCATGTGGGTATGGGGTCATGTGGGTATGGGGTCATGTGGGTATGGGGTCATTGAGGGTATGGGGTCATGTGGGTATGGGGTCATGTGGGTATGGGGTCATGTGGGTATGGGGTCATGTGGGTATGGGGTCAGGTGGGTATGGGGTCACTGTGGGTATGGGGTCATGTGGGTATGGGGTCATGTGGGTATGGGGTCACTGTGGGTATGGGGTCAGGTGGGTATGGGGTCATGTGGGTATGGGGTCATGTGGGTATGGGGTCAGGTGGGTATGGGGTCATGTGGGTATGGGGTCACTGTGGGTATGGGGTCATGTGGGTATGGGGTCATGTGGGTATGGGGTCATTGAGGGTATGGGGTCATGTGGGTATGGGGTCATGTGGGTATGGGGTCATGTGGGTATGGGGTCACTGTGGGTATGGGGTCATGTGGGTATGGGGTCATTGTGGGTATGGGGTCACTGTGGGTATGGGGTCATGTGGGTATGGGGTCATTGTGGGTATGGGGTCATTGTGGGTATGGGGTCACTGTGGGTATGGGGTCATGTGGGTATGGGGTCATGTGGGTATGGGGTCATTGTGGGTATGCGGTCAGGTGGGTATGGGGTCATGTGGGTATGGGGTCACTGTGGGTATGGGGTCATGTGGGTATGGGGTCATGTGGGTATGGGGTCATTGAGGGTATGGGGTCATTGTGGGTATGGGGTCAGGTGGGTATGGGGTCATGTGGGTATGGGGTCACTGTGGGTATGGGGTCATGTGGGTATGGGGTCATGTGGGTATGGGGTCATTGAGGGTATGGGGTCATTGTGGGTATGGGGTCAGGTGGGTATGGGGTCATGTGGGTATGGGGTCATGTGGGTATGGGGTCATTGTGGGTATGCGGTCATG